CGGTGTTTATTTTTATGAATTCTGTTTCCACATGCTTAGTGGAATTCCTCTTCCATCATTTTGTCGGTTAAGTCGTTGATTGCTCCTTTCGAAGCTTCAAATGGTTGTGGCTTTGGAAGTTTGCTACTCACGATAGGGCTTCCAATGGGTTGGGTTTTGGTAGAACCAGCCTCGAATCGATTATTATTACTATGGATAAATTCATAGACCCGGAACTAAAAAGTAGAAGTATTTATTTAAAGAATAAATTAAATTTTGAATTTCGATAATATAACCTTAATAAAATTTCAGAAAATGATTATTATTGATATATTAATAAATTAAATATTTTAACTAATATTATCTATCATATTTAGCATTGATAACATAAAATATATTAAAAGATATTGGAGAATTAAGAAAATCTTGTACATACTTTATAAAACAACTGGTTCCAGGTATGGATTGGTTCAGGACAGGGAATACCATGCACCGACCCAATTATTATTTGAGACAAAATCATGGAACCAAAACCGTTATAATTGTAGAATTGTAAACGGTTCTGATCTGTTTGTGTTCACTGGGCAAATGCGACCCACTGGCTGCCCTAATTCTTCAATAAGGATCATGGGAAGACAGGAGCTGCAATAAGTCTGGTATTTCTTTTCCTTCTCCACGAGGATTTGCTTTTCTTGGTTGTGACCTTTTCAACGCATTGCCAATGTTAAAACTTTTGTTGTTGTAGGGTATGATTGTATAGTGGGATGTTGATTTTGGACCCCAACAAATCGATAAGTACTTCCACAAAATGACAACCATGCCAATGTGTGTGATTTATTAGTAGTTGGCATTGTCAACTACAGTATAAAGAATGACCGTAGGGCTTTGTAAGCCAACATTTTTTTTATATGCCAAAAGTTTTTTATATGCTAACATTTCCTTATTGTTGCTTTTATTGTCAATTTTGTTTTGTGTTGTTTTCTTAAACTAATCCGAGACATCTTCAAGCATTGACACTTGTCGGAGGTTTTGTCGACGCAAATGATTCAAGTATTTGAGTTGGTGTGTAATAGTTGTCCTTGGCGTTGCATATGCAGGAACACAGGATTAGATGGTGAAGTATCTCAGTTTTCACCCGTGGAGTGACATTTTGTTTCATAAAAGCATTTTCAAAGCTGAAGATGATCAAGACTGCTATCAGTCTTGGACACTAAGGTATTTCAGGTTCGAACAAAAGAGAAAGTGAAGAAGAAAGATGAGAAAGATTAGTGAGAGAGCAGTAGAACACAGGTTTGAAAGGAA